ATAGATGGCGATATCTAGATTTGCTGACTAAAAAGGGTTGAATATGGGATAGATGGGAACTATGTAATGTAATCTTACTCTCTCTCCTTCCTCTCTGTAACTTACAAGATCAGAAGCTGCTTCTTTAATTATCATTTTCTTTTTTTCTTTATTTGCATTGTCTCTCACGCTTTTTCTTTTATCTTTTTTCTAACTTTCCTTTATATATGTTTTCATGTTTATTTTTTACTCATGTAAAAATCTTCAATAAAAATGATCTTAAATAAAAATAATTAACCCTCTTAATGCATATTATTGCATTGCATTGCACTGTTGGACTTGGCTAAGGTCAGCTAGGTTCTGATAGATGCTGAGACCATGGTACTGCTGGCTGCCAAAGTACAGAAATAAAGCAAATGATTTGAATCTGTAAGTGGAATTCATTTCGACTGGAGAGTCTGGGTAACAAACTTTTATAATAGTTTAAGGTGTTTAAACTGTTACGACACTGGACTAAGCAAATGTCTACACAAATCTACCTGCTCTGATGTTTTATAAAAAGCAACGGAGGCATTCACAAGCTTGAGACGATCTTCCATCTTGAGCATCAGCTGCTGCCAATGAGAGGCCACCTTCTCAGCACAGTCTCTGATCATGTCCATGTCATAATGATTAGCCTGCAACATCGCCTCGGCTTTCTGCTGTACTTGCAGGGCACTCTGGTGAGTTTTCTGATGAAATGTAAACAAAACACACCATTTAGTTCATGAACACATTATCAGCATTTTCAAAAGAGGTTTATGTCAGCTCTTTCCTGTCTTATTCTTGCTGGGGAATTAGATGCTGGACTAGAAACCAGAAGGCCATGAATTCTAGGCCTCCCTTAGGCATGGAAGCCAGATGGGTGACTTTGAGCCAGTCACTCTCTCAGCCCAACCCATCTCACTGTTGTGAGGAAAACAGGAGGAGGGAACATTATGTACGTTGTCTTCAGCTATGTACAAAATAAAGGCAGCATATAAATCTAGTAAATAAATAAATATCAGCCAGACACACAAAGCCTACTATAAACCTATTTTAATAAAATTCTATGATGTATCCCCCCTTATCATGGGTAAAGATTAAAAAAAAAACTGAGGTAGACATTCAGAGACATAACGTTCTCTACCCACAAACTGACTAGATGGAATACATTTCAACACATGCCCCAATCATATGGGGAGCACCAATGTGTGCTCCCTTCTTTTGTTTTATTTCGACTATAAGGCTGGGGGGTGTACAAGCAAGTCTTCATTCCCAGCAGACTTCCAGATATTGTTGGACACTAAGATCTCAGTTTTAACCCAGCAAGTCAGTGGTAGTAGAATATGTAGTCATCCAACATCGAGAGGGTCGTAAGTCCCATACTTCTGATATATACTGCCATTGTATTCTTTATAACAACCTTGAAAAGTAGGCCACTATCAATGACACTCGCAAATACACTGAAATGTTTACTGCAGATTATGAAGAATTGCACAGCATTAAAGAGCAACAATACAAATTCCTAGGTTCTTATTCCTTAGCATAAGATTCAGCAAAAGTCTAAACACTGCCCTGTCAAAGGGAGGATATGTTGAAGGGCAAATCAAGTGTTAAGTTTTGAAACCTCATTTTACTTTAAGTATAAGGATTCCAGTGGAATCCAAGCTCTATGGCAACTTATAAAAGGGTCAAAATTAATGTTCTTTTAAAAGGATGGTATCTCCAGGGGAAGACTGTTACACTAAAAAGGTATGAAAGCTGTCAAAAATGAGGACCCACACACACTGAAAACTGTGAACAACAGAAAGGAAAAGCAGAAAACTCTGTAGAATGACAGTGTAATAGAAATGGATCAGCAAGATTCTCTAAAAATAAAAAACTTCACAACATTCAAAACAAAGAACTTTCTTTACAGCAATTTTAAACATTTGGTTCTCAATAAAACACTAGGATTTCTAAGACCATTGTCAAAATTATAGACCTCTCTTATTTATTTAGTGTAATCCTCCAGACTATATCTATTGGAGGAAACATGGCAAAAATGCAGATCTGCTTGCACCGTACCCATGCTATGGCTGAAGAGAAACCAGAAGAAAAGTGTGAGACGGGCAGGAGCTAATTATGTAATATCTTAAACCTTTATTTATTTATTTGATTGACTGATATAGCCACTCATCTCACAAAAGTGATGCTGGCTGGCTTACAATTCATAGGTATGCTCCCTGAGAGCAGATTGTTCGACCAAACCTAGAATAGGTAAGACTAACTTGCCCACCCACCTGCCACACATAGAGAATCAAGTGGCGAGGTAGTTCCACAATACAAATATGCTTCCCTGCTTTTCATTCCTATGTACCCACCAACCCAAGACAGAGATGAGGACGTTGTGGAGCTTATACGGGCAGAACAAAGGCAGATCTTGTTTCCAGTGAAAGTAGAATTGCTCTGTTACTTCTATCAAGGAGGATGATCACCCCACTCTGACTCAAAGCAGGGTTGAACTGATTGGTCATTGCTTCTTTTACGGGATGATCCAACTCACATCAATTTGCAAGCACATCAGCACTACTAGCTTCTTGCTGAAGGGTCACTGGTGCTTTTGCTTCCATATTATTCCTATTTCTATGGCATGGGACTCACCCATGCATAATGATATGCTACTCCAGCAACATAAACTTGGGCAATGCATCTTAAGTGAAATTATAACTCAGAAACATCCAGTACTGCAGCAGTGAAGAGAATGTTAACCGCAGTATTGCACTGGTGGTTCAACTGATTTTAACTTGCTCCATAGTTACACTCTCCAGCTTGATATTTTTCTGCACTGATTGACAGCAACTCTCTACAGCAGTGTTTCTCAATCTTGGCAGCTTGGCCAGCTGGGGAATTCTGGGAGTTGAAGCCACACATCTTCAAGTTGCCACGGTTGAGAAACACTGCTCTAGAGTTTCAGGCAGGCATAGCCGGAGAGGCAAGGTAGAGGCCTCTCTACCTAAATATGACCTTTTCCAAATTCTATTTCTCATATTTTGGAAGAAAAGACAATGAACCCTTTGCAGCAAGTTGTGCTATGAGTAAATGCAACACAACAGTGTTTTGCATGTGAATATGCCCCAGCAGGTGTACAGGTGACTGACAGATACTGTTTGTCATGCATAAGATGCAGGCAGTGGTAGATTTATGAAAAATCAATCATGCAAGGATAATCTTAGCTCTGGATCACCTGTTCATGTGGGAGGCAAGAATCTGTACACACAGAATCTGGCATATTAAAAACAAATATATACTTCTAGCCCATATTTCAAAAGACTGCCTTTACATAGTCTCTTAGACTACCAAATCAAGTTTAATAACAGAAAGCACTTATACCTCTATTGCATGCTGGAACTGCTCATGTTCACGCTGTAGCTGCTCAGCCTCCTGCAGTGAGCTAGCTGTAATCAGGCCAGCATTTAACATGGACTCCCCATTTCGGATCCAGCCCAATACCTAAAATGAAATGCAGGACAGCAGCAACATAGAAGCTTCTCTTACGTCTGAGCAGTACAATTAATCTTTTATCTATTATCCATTTTCTATTGGTAAAACAGTCCCAGAGCAAGGGGATACAATTTAAAACAAGTTACAATAAAAACAGTACTATAACATTAAAAAAAAAACCCTCTAAAGATGGGAGATTTGTTTCACATTTCTATTGGTAAAACAGTCCCAGAGCAAGGGGATACAATTTAAAACAAGTTACAATAAAAACAGTACTATAACATTAAAAAAAAAACCCTCTAAAGATGGGAGATTTGTTTCACATTTCTATTGGTAAAACAGTCCCAGAGCAAGGGGATACAATTTAAAACAAGTTACAATAAAAACAGTACTATAACATTAAAAAAAAAACCCTCTAAAGATGGGAGATTTGTTTCACATTGGATGGGGACTGATGATGAGTTACTTTAGTTTTCATTTCTTTCGATAACCTTAGCAAAATTCAGGACACTGGGCTCATAAGATGGCACTGTCACCTCTTCCATCCTGAAACCTGCCCTACCATTATGTTTGTTAATCAGGATTCTGAAGAATTCTTTATGGGGAAGTAACAATGGTTAGATATTATGAAGAACCACTCAGAGAAAGTAGAACAAATTCAAGTGAGGGAATGGATAGAGTTGGCTAGGTTAGCCAAGCTCACACCTAATACAAGAGAACTTCTGAAATTATGTGCGAATGCTAGAGAAATTATCATTTTGCAATAACAGTCACAATTTATATAGTCTTAATTTTTACTGAAAAAAACAAATAAAAATCCAAGAGTTCGCTCTCATTTTGAACTCTGCTAATAAATGCTTACATTAAACCCAGGATTAGAAAATAAAAGTTGTTATATTTTTAGTGGCAGATCAAAATGGTGTTGTGCATATTTTCATCAGAACAAAATACTAATTGTAGATATGTATTTACAGGAAAGAGATATATTACAAACAAATAAGTTGACAAAGCCCTGTGGTGATGAAATTCTTCCATCTTTATGGACTAAAATGTATTTTCTTTTTATTATACTGAAGATACTCATAACTGAAAAGAAGATGAAACTGCAACAAGGTTAAAGAAATTCATCTTGTTTATCAGATATTGAACTTATAGGGAATGCTTTAGAATATACATGTTTAAATATTTGCATTTCTGTACGGCACACTTATTAAAACAGCAATAGCACAGTCTCAACACATTCTTATCATTCCTATTTTAGTTTGTGTTAAGTGTTTTTAGGTGTCAGAGTTCAAGGGCAGCCAATTTGGCAGGGAAACATCATAATTAGAAGAAACTATGCACTGAATGCCACAGGAAGGTAACACAACAAACATGGTTTATTCTACTATATCTGATCAAGCACCTGCTGAGCTATAAAGACTTTTCTATCTTAGAAAATACTAATGTGTCTTCCTTCTTTGGTTAAAAATAGGACTTATATTTTTGGAGTAAGGTTACTTGTGGCAGAATAAATTTCTACTTCCTGAAATTAATACAAATATGAAATAATGGGAAATGAAATTCTAGAATTCTCATAATTGACAATGGAAGATTGATATCAGTGTTCCTACTCTAAAAAAAAAAAAAAAGATTGTGTCTTTGTTAACCAGCCCATTGACATATTTTTTATTTGAAAGAATGAAAAAGCACTCTACTTTCATCCCAAGTAAATATCATTGTGCCTTCCTTAATTTATAATTTAACAATATAATAATCTTTAGCATTTCTAGCAAAGTACAAAATATATTCCCATAATTATTGCAAAAAATAATAATAATTGTCCCCAAAATTGACTGATTAAACTTTCAGGTCAGTCACTGGATACAATTACTCATCACATAAGCATAGTTTACTTTCCAAGCTTGGACTATCAAAGAGATAGCCATTACAGTTCATTGGCTTAACCACAATCTGAAGCTAAGGACTGGCTTTAGTTTAAGTACCTAAACTAAAGTACCCGCCCAGAGTCCCCCATTGTGGGGAGATGGGTGGGGACAAGTCCATGAAATAAATAAATAAATAAATAAATAAATAAATAAATAAATAAA